AGCAGAAGGATCAGTTGAGCTCAGGAATTTGAGGCAAGCCAGGCAACATAGTGAGAATGGCTGGGCATGGTGGTGACACTGGAGGCATGAGGCAGTAGAACAAGTTCAAAGCTAGCCTCAGCAGTTTAGCAATAGACTGTCTCAAAAAWTTTTTTAAAAGGTTGGGGATGTGGCAGTACCAAATAAATAAATAAATACATAAATACAGACTGTCTCAAAAGAAAAAGTGGGGGGGCTGGGGTTGCGGCTCAGCGGTAGAGCACTCGCCTAGCAGGAGCAAGGTGCTGGGTTGGATCCTCAGCATCACATAAAAACAAATAAATAAAATAAGGTTTTGTGTCCAACTACAACTAAAAAATAAATTAAAAAAAGAAAAAAGGTGGAGCTGGGTTTGTGATTCCATGGTAGAGCGCTTTCCTAGCATGTGTGAGACACTGGGTTTGATTCTCAGCATCCCATATAAATAAATAAAAATAAAGATCTGTTAACAACTAAAAAATTAAAAGGAAAAAAAAAGGCAAGGTATGGTGGCATACACCTGTAATCCCAGTAACTCAGGAGGCTGAAGTGGGAGGATCTCAAATTCAAGGCCAGCCCTAGCAACCTAGCAAGACCCTGTCTCAAAATAAAAAATAAAAAGAGCTGGGAATAGGGGCTGGAGCTGGAGCTCAGTGACAGAGTGCTTGCCTAGCATGCGTGAGGCACTGGTTTGATCCTCAGCACCAAATAAAAAGTAAAATAATAAACAAAGATATGGTGTGTCCCTCTGTAACTAAAATAAATAAATAAATAAATAAATAAATAAATAAATAAATAAATAAATAAATAAATAATTGAAAAATAAAAAGAGATGGGAATACAGCTCAGTGATAGAGTACCCCTGGATTCAACCCCCAGTACCAAAAAATATATATTTTTTTAAAATTTTGAGACAGCGTCAAACTTAATCACTCTGCCTTTGCTTCTCTAGTAGATGAATTACAGGCCTGTGCCACCTTAAGAAATTGCTTTTATTCTCTCTCTCTCTCTCTCTCTCTCTCTCTCTCTATCTCTCTCTCTCTCTCTCTCTCCTCTCTCTCTCTTTAAAAAAAAAAAAAAAAAAAAAAAGAAAGAAAAAGAAAAAAAAGAAATTGCTTTTGAGCCAGGCATGGTGGCACATGCCTGTAATCCCAGTGGCTCAGGAGGCTGAGACAGGAGAATCCTAAATTCATCAAAACCAGCCTCAGCAATGGCAAGGCACTTAGCAACTCTAATGAGACCTGTCTCTAGTTTTCGGCAGACACAACATCTTTGTATGTGGTGCTGAGGATCCAACCCAGGCAAGCGCGATACCGCTTGAGCCACATCCCCAGCCCAGAATTCCATTTTTTAAAAACCATTAATCTTAGGTGAATTTCATCTCACACATACAAAAGAACACTGGATGTTTATATCTATTTATTCAAATCAGCTAAGTTTCCTGTCCTCAGGGACATTGTCATTAAGTTAAAAACCTTCAACATAGGCTCAACCCTTCTGCCCCCATATCCCAAGTATATTTCCCAGGCATCTGTAGCCTCCTTTTCCATTTTTGCCAGTACCACAATCCCCAAAACTGAGCCAGGTACAGTGGGGGTGTACCTGTAATCCCAACGGTTCAGGAGGCTGAGGCTGGAAAATCTTGAGTTCAAAGCCAGCCCCAGCAACTTAGCAACTAAACCCTAAGCAATTTAGTGAGACCCTTTCTCTTATTTTTTTTTTTTTTTGTACCAGGGCCTGAACCCAGGGGTACTTGACCATTGAATCACTTCTCAGCACTTTTGTATTTTATATTTTGAGACAAGGTTTTCCCTAAATTGCTGTGTTGGCCTTGAACTTGGGACCCTCCTGCCTCAGCCTCCTAAGTCACTGAGTTTACAGGTATAAGCCATCATGCCTGGCTGAACCTCAGTTTTCTTGCTTGTTCAATAGCACTTTGTAGCCAGATGTGGCGGTACACACTTGTAATCCCAGCTTTTCAAGAATAAGGAGGATCTAAAATTCAAAGCTGGCCTGGCATCTTAGTGAGACCCTCTCTAAAAATAATTAAAAAAAAAAAAAGTCTGGGGATATAGCTCAGTAGTAGGGTGCCATCAAGTTATGTGCAAGGGTCTGGGATTAATCTCTAAAACTGAAAAAAAAAAAAATTGCCAGGCATCATGGTGCATGCGTGTAATTCCAGTGACTCAGGAGGCTGAAGCAGGAGGACCACCCAGGCTCAGCAAAAGTGAGGTGCTGAGCACCACATTGAGACCCTATCTCTAAATACAATACAAAATAGGACTGGGGATGTGGCTCAGTGGTCAAGTGACCCCTTAGTTCAATCTCCATACCACCTGTCCCCCAAAAAAACTTCAAAAAAAAATTCACCTTCTTCCAAAGGTCTTCATGAAGAGGACCACAGCTATAACATAACTAGCACAGTGACTGGCACATTGTGCATCTTCAACATTCAATTTTTTTTTTTTCTTTCTTCCTTGCTTTCCACCTTGCATAGTCTAGAAAGGAATCTCAGATTCAGAGGACACAAAGAACTTTGTAGGGTAGGTTGTAATATTCATTGTCCACCCAAGTGATAGTGATCACCATGGAATCTGGCCAAGCTAGTTGTTTGGAATGAATAACCTTAGGGTTAAGTGGTCACAAAATTGAGAAAAGGCAAATTCATGAGCAGTAGAGAGAAGAGGGTCAAGGTAGGTATTTGTCTTCCTTTGTCCACCTGACAACATCAAGCCAAACCAACCTCCTCTTGACACTCTTGGAATAACAACCTCAAAAAAATGACAAAGGAGTGTGGAGATATAGCTCAGTTGGTAAAGTGCTTGCCTCACATGTACAAGGCCCTGGGTTCAATCCCCAGCATGCACACACACACACACACACACACACACATACACACAAAAAAAATCTTAAAGGATGCCAGGCAAAGTGGAGCATGCCTGTAATCCCAGCTGACTACAGAAGGGAGGCTGAGGGAGGAGGATTGTGAGTTCAAAGCCAGCAGAAGCAAAAAGCAAGATGGTTAACAACTCAGTGAGAYCCTGTCTCTAAATAAAATACAAAAAATAGGACTGGGGATGGGGCTCAGTGGTTGAGTTTCCCTGAATTCAATCCCCAGTACCCTCCCGCCAAAAAAAAAAAAAAAAATTCAGAAAGGCACTAATGTCTATTGAGTACTTACTATATGGGGTTCTCTCATACTGATTATGTGACTGGGTAGACACTGTCTGTTTTTAGTCTCATCAAACTGCATGTACCAATTATAGAGGGTAAATCTGGAGTAGTTTAGAGTGGGGTTTAGAGTCAGTTGTCCCAGGTCATTCAGCTAGAGATCACCAATCGCTGGGATTACAAGTGAGTGCCACCCTGTTTGGCTCAAGGAAATACTTGTGAGTGTGGATGGCTTCAATAGTGTCCCTTCACGCCCTCCCTGGGGGGTTGGGGGGGAGCTGAAGGTGGGATAATCCACAATGTGGAGCTTCCCCTTTTTAATCATACAGGAGGTGGGTGTCCCTATTCCTAAACAGGCCTTATTTTCAAGCCCTAGATTCTGCATTTTTCCATCATTTCGTGCCCTCTCAGCAAAAATCTCAGGTGGGAGAAAGGGTCTCATAAACACTTCAGACTCCACATCTGTAACCCTCCTTGAGCCAGAGTAAGGGAACCAAACAACCTTCTCAACCAATCCCCCTCTAAGTAACAAAGGAGGGGACCTCCTCCCCAGTCTGGGCCAAATGCCCTAGGGAGGGGGCACTAGCCCAGGTCCCCTAGAACCCACCCTGAAGCCAGCATCTGGGGACCCCCAGGAACTCTATCCTCCACAGAGCGCCACTCTCCTCCCTTCTCCCTGCTAATAGGTATTTCCTGTTTATGAGGCAGCTAGGGCTGGGCTTTTGGGGAAGGGATGGAGATGGAACCTCTCCCTCCTAGGGTTGGGTAGGGGAGTCCTTGAGGAGTTCCTGAAGGTTGGGAGTCGCCTCCCTAGAAAAGTGTTTTACATGGAAAATACACAAATAGAGACTCTGCCCCTATGGGTAGAGGGCACTGGAGGGGTCAGCTTCCTGTTCTGAGTCTCTGAAGCCCACGGAAAGAGAGCAGCTACCAGGCAGGGGGCGGAGGGCGGGGAGAGAAGGCGCGGAGGCTGGATAGAGAAGGGGGGAAGGGAAGTCTTGACTGGTGCGTCAGAGCCTGCAAAGGGGGGACGGATGGCTTGCGTGTCACCCCTCCCTCGTCCAACCTGGTGGTCATCCCGCAGCCCCTCTCCCCCAGTAAAACGTGAATCCCAGACTCTTAGACAAGGAAGGGTGGGGACCCCACTTAATTAACCCTTCCAGCTCCAGTTCCAACTGGATTAGCAGGCTAGGGAGGAATGTTTAATTTAAAGAGGGGGGGAGTTGAAAGGTTGCTACAAAAATTAGGATTGTACTTTTCCCAGGTAGGTTGGGGTGAGCGCGCAACAAGGGGTCTCGCGCCGGTTGGGGTCAGCAGTCCTTTTCCTCTCGTGGAGCGCGGCCTCGAGTGGAAAGAAAGCTACACCTCACAACCCACCCTGGCTCCGCCTCCCCCAGTCCAGACTCTCGTTCCCGTTCCCGCTCCAGCTTAGCTCCGCTCCCAACCCGGCGGTACCCGGAGGACCGACACCAAGTGCGAGGCTTCGCCTCCCACTGCTCCCCTTCGCCCTCTCTTTCTGGGGTCTCTGCCTCCGTCTCCCTTTTTTAAAAGCTGCGTCACATGCATGCCATTCCCTTGAACGCTCCCGGGCCTTCGCAGCCCGCCCGCCGCGCGGCGCACGCACGTCGTAGCTCGCTGCGCGCTCGCCTGGGTCACTTTGACACGGCTCTCCCCTCCCACTAGCAGGACAATTAGCATATTAATAAAGCCCGGCCCAGCCCGGCTGGGGCTGGAGAGCCGGCGCCTGCGAGAGGCAGAGCGCGAGCGCGAGCGCGAGGGCGAGGGGGGCGAACGGCGGCGGCGGCGGCGGGAGCGCACAGACACGCACACGCACACGCGCACACACGGACACACACTCCGGGGACGCACACCCGCGCGCACACACGGAGAGGCAGCTCGCCTTCCTGCCTGGCTTCCTTCCTGTCCGCTCGGCGCCTGACAGGCCCCTCTCTGCAGCCAGGGGCCGCCCGCACCGGGTCGAGGCCGGGCCGAGGCCAGGCCGGGCCGGCTGCGAGGGCAGCGGGGGTCGCGGGCGGCGGCAGCGGCTCATGCCCGGCCTGTCCCTGCSAGGGGCGGGCACCGTGACTCGGCTGGGCCCCCAGCGGCGGGCGATGTGAAGATGTCAGTGGGCTGTGCCTGTCCTGGTGAGTGGGTTGCGCGGCTGCCTGGCCCCTCCCTTCCTAACCTTCCCTATGAGCCCCTTACCCCTTGTTTGGGGAGAACTTGCGTGGAGGACATCGAAGGCATGGGGGTGTCTGGAGCTGTTGAGGGGTAAGTGGGGCCTTAAGCCGAGAAAGGCTTTTTCAACTGTGCAAATGCGCAGCAGCCCAGAGGTACGGGGAGGGGGCGCTGGGGATAGCTTGTGTATATGGTTTTGGGGTTTGGGTTTTTTTTTTTTTTTTTTTTTTTTGGGAGGTAGCTAATTGGGGAAGGGCTGGGGGGGGACTGAAATTCCCAGAATTCCAGGGTGTTAGCCAATCAGAAGTGACTCTGGACTTTTGACCCCCCCCCTTAGGTCATTAAAGAGTTGTGATTGGCTGTTTTGGGTTGCCCCCCCTACTTTGCTGCCTATTTCCTTTTACATATCCTGTGACACCCACCCCTCAAGCCATTTCTGAGGACACTGTTTGAGGGGAGGGATTGATTGGGGCCTGTGTCCCCCTCCAACTTTTCCTGCCTGTTGCCAGGGAAGGTTGGCTCTCCTGAGGGACAGGAGGTACTCCTAGTGGGTGCCAGATAATTAGGCCCTTGGGTCTGGCATCTTTGCCTTAGTGGAAGAGAGAATGTGGCAGACCCAGGAAAGCTAGGAAAATACAGTGATTTGCATAGAATTGAGTTTGAGGTAGTAATTCTTAACCCCCAAAGTGAGAACTTGTTAGAGGACCAAAGCTCAGCTCAGATCATTACCTCCCCAAAACACATGTCAGCTCTTGCCAGGGACACCCTGTGTCTTCCTAGGGGTGTGGGGGTAGGCTCAACCTCAACTGCCAGGAGGAAAAAGAAGAGCCATGTGACTGGAGAAGTAGTCTATGCAGGGCCTCAGAACATTTTCTCCATCTCCAGGACTGTGGGTCTTCAAATTGGCCCTCATGTCTCAAGGAGTCAGCTTTTTCCTGGAAGTCAGTGCCTCTGAATCTATCATGGTTTGGACCCTTTGCCCTGTTCTCTGGGAGATCCATACTCTACAACTTGATGACTGCCCCCCCTCCAAGCACAAATGCACACTCCCCCCCCCCCAGGAGAGCTGCCAGTGTTGAAACTTCCTTGAAAATCATTGTGACCCAGGCCAAGCTGGGTTGGGCACACACCTAAAGTGCCTGCTGAGGTTGACATTTAAGGGTCTTGGGACCCAGAGTAAGAACTAGGAGAGCCTGAGGATCCTGGAATATCTGATTATGGGAACCCTTGGCTCCTGCAGAGGGTGGGGGAGAGGAGGAAAGGGAAGATCTTGCCAAGCTGGAATCCTGCCTGGCGCCATCATCCTTCCTCCTACCAGCTTGGTACGCATGTTAGTGTTTGTGTTTTTTCCCTGTACTGGGCATCCCAGTTCAGATCTATCCATGCTCCAAGCCTACCCCAGGGTTGTGACCCTCCATCAACACACAAAAGCAGAGCAGAAACTAAGGCTCTGAACAAATGAGCTAAAGGGTTGAGTCTTAAATTTTGATTCTTAGTTACTATAAGTAGTGAGGTAGGAAATGTGTGTGGTGGGGTTGTCAAACTGAAGGTGGATGGGAGCTTGGCCTAAAGTTGGGGAAGGGTGGCTGGGGTCCAGTGGAAGGAGGAGAAAGTTTCCCCCTCAGTCTCTGTGAGTAGCATGGGGACAGGAAAAGGCCCATGCCTGGTGTGTGTGTGTGKGGGGGGGGGCGTATAAAGTGGGAGGCAACTTCAGTTAGTACCCCAAAAGGCAAGTTCCTTTTGTGTGTCTGATGGCCTGGCTGATGGAGTGGGGCAAAAACATGGCTGACAGTGGGAGTCATCTTCCTGTTTGTGAAGTAGATTGTGGATGGAGGTTAGACTTCAAGGAGAACCACGTGGGGAGGGGCTTGAGGGTAGGCCTGGAGGTGGAGAATGGTAGGAATTTGAGTAAGAGAGGGAACCAAGCTTGCATGGGTGGATGGGGGAGCACATGCTTAAACATAAGAGCATCCTGGCAGCAGGAGGCAGTTCAGGCCCAAAGACCCCCACCACCACTTTGAACAGCCCTGGGGTGAGGGCCCAGGCGCCCTGGTAGGCCTCCTGCTGCCTGTCTCCTTGCCTGTCTGAGTCTCTCCTTTGTGCTCTGCTGTCTCCCGGCTCCTCCTCCTCCCCCAGCCCAGCAGAGACAGCACATGCCCCACACATGTGACTGAAGGAAGCCAGAGCACGCAGACCCACACACATGCACATGCGGAAACACCACAAGATACACACATAGTATCCCATAGTACTGTTGGGGTAGAGAACAGCTTCTGGGGCTGAAATTACCAGAAGTGGGGAGAAGCCCTGCTAAAGGGCATCTCCCTGGGCAGGATGCTAGGGAGCCAGGCCTGTCTGGGGCAGCATGTGGCTCAGAAGGGTTAAGGCTGGGAGGAGTAGGGGGAGGGGAGGAGGCAGCAGTGGTGGCGGCTGGAAGCCAGGAGAGGAGGATGGCAGAGCGCCAGGCCAACGGGAGGCCGGGCACAGACAAAGGAAGGGGGGCAGGCACACTGGAGGCCTGGGTCAGGGGCCTGGGTAGGGGGCAGTGCTGGTACCCCCTCATTCTGTGGGCTGGGGCCTGGCTACTGTCCTTTGAGTCCCCCTCCAGTAGGAGTACTCTCCAGCTTCTCTCCTTCATCATCTTTGTCATTCTTTGCTGCTCCCACCACTACCAATTTTAGGTGGTTTTAACTTAGATTTGATCCCTTTAGCTGGACCTCTTCTGCCCTGTGTGTGAGGGTGGGGATGAGGGGCGGTGTCAGAGCAGGAGCAGACTTGCTGGAGAAGGGGAACTGGGAGAGAACCTGTTTTGAATGATATGCCAGAGTCTTGAAGTGTCTTAGCATTTAGGGGCCCTTCCCCACAGTGAGAGGGCAGGCTCATGTGGCTTCTCTCTGAGGAGACATTCTGGGTGCCGGTTCTGAGCTATGGACTGAGGGCAGAAGCTAGAGCACTGACCCCTTCTCCCTCCCCATGTGGACAGTCATTTGAAGCCTGGAGGGGGAAGGGAATAGACAATGCCCCAAGACTCAACTTGTATCAAGTGGGGTCCTCCTGTCTCACTGTGGTCTATTCAAGTTAGGATTTTGACAAGTGTGTTCGTGTGTGCTGTAAGGATTACTTTAGATACTGCCTGTCAGAGCATTTTGAAAAGTTTAAAGGTAGGAAACAGTGGCACACACCTCACACACCTACAATTCCAGCGACTCAGGAGGATAAAGCAGAAGGATCCCAAGTTCAAAGTCAGCCTCATCGACTTACTGAGACCCTGTCTCAAAATAATAAGGGCTGTGGATGTAGCTCAGTGGTTAAAAGACCCTGGGTTCAATCTCCAGTACCAAATAAATAAACAAATAAATAAGGCAGGAAACAAATTACAGGAATTGTCCTGTCAGTAAGTGAGGAATGTGGCTATTTTAGAATTAGATTGGAAGTCAGTAGGGATGTCTTAAATCAAGGTGGTAGGCTGTATGTCACAGGGTCTGGTTAAATGTTACAGATTTCAATGTTTGTGAAAGCTAGGATGTATCATGGCCAGGCTGCATTGGGGAATGGTGTGTAGATTTCAGGGAACCCATTTATGGGTAAGTCCCTGAATAACAAACATTCATTAAAAATATCCCCCTGGCTGGTTGCAGTGTTGCACACCTGTGATCCCAGTCACTTGGAAGGCTGAGGCAGTAGAATTGTGAGTTCAAACAACAACAAACAACCCTGAAGTCCCTCACCCCCACCCCTGCCAGCTGCTCTGTGTGTGATAGTCACAGGATTAAGGGGTATAACCCAGTGTTGGTGTGTATAWTGGGGTCAGACTATATATGAATCTGCATGTCTGTGTCCAGGGTTTTGGTATATTTAGGATTTAAGGTGTATGACAGGTTAAAGTGTGTATTAGGTACTGATTTATGTGAAAGTGGGAGATGTTATTTATGTGTGGAGGATGTTCACAGAGCCAAGTACAATATTACTGCAGTCAACCAGTGTGTCATAAGAAATCTAGTCCTTGGGATTATGTGTGAATATAGTTGGGAGAGGTGGGAAGTAGAGAAAACATTTCAAATTGCTAAGAATGAAAGTAGGAGCTCCCTCTCTCTTGGGGGGGAGGGAGAGAGAAAGATTGACTTTTTCCTAACTGTCTAGGTAATAGGGCCTAAATGGCTATCCAAGTTTCAGAAGTGACTCCTTCCTTGGGATACCTCCTGTGGGACTAGAGAACAGACTCCACCTCCATTAATCACATACCTTTTTAGATCTGGGATGGTGGGGAGTAGTTAGCAGCCCCTTCTGGAGGCACTGGGATGAGCAAGTTTGCCTTCCCTAGCTCCTGACRACGTCTTTTACTAACACCCATGTGGTTTCAAGGGTGGTGGTGGGGAAGGGTGATTCCTGTTAAGGGATCTAAGCCAGGGGTTGGAACCTATCTGGGTTGAGAGCAGGGAAGCCCAGAGTGCCCCCCCCACGCCCCTTCCTTCAATCAGTGTGTATAGTCTGAAGTCAGAATGTGTCTCTGTCAAAAATAACCCCCGGGGCCTTCCCCCAGCTGCTCTGGGATTTCATCCGAGGARCCCAGGGTGGAAGCCCAGGCTAGTCTTCAACCTGAGAGATCACAGGGGTGAGTAACAGAGATTTGGGGGAGGTTTGGCAGGCGGGTTGAAAATATTCAAAGTCTGTAGAGAGGCCAGCATCCTCCTCCATCTCTGTCTGAAGCCTTGGCACCCCTGCCCACTCCTGAGAACCACGCTTGGGGCTGGTGGGGTGTATTTTGCTGCTGGCCCTGCAGGTCTCCTCGCCATCCAGGTCTCTCCCGGGCCGGTCGGTTCGGTCCCCAGTCTCCGATCTCCGTCTCTCTTTTGTTTTTCTCAGCAGTCCCTCCTCCCTCTCTCTTCGCTCTTCCTCCTCGCTCGCAGGGAGGGGGCGGGGCCGGCGGGGCAGCTCCACCCTCCGCCCGCCCTGGGGCCTCATTCGGAGAGAGGCTCTGAGAGCGAGCGGGGAGGAGAGGGAGGAGGAGGGAGAGAAAGGGAGAAAGGAAGGAGYCGGCGGGCGCTGCGTGTGTCTGAGTGTGCGAGTGTGAGTGAGTGTGAGTGCTGGGCTTTGCCTCTCCTGCTTCCCCCAGCAGAGGGGTTGGGTGGCCTGGGGAGGGCGGGCGGGCTGCTTGGAGGCAGAGGCAGTGAGAGGCGGCGGCGGAGAGAGCCGAGGAGGAGGAGGAGGAGTAGAGAGGAAAGAGCGGAGCAGCCATTGTTGAGGGAAACCTTGCAAACAAAGAAGGCTCCGGACTCCCTGCTGCCCCCCGCCCCCCAGGCCAGCCCCCTGGCCCCCGTCCCCTGGCCCAGTGGCCATTGTAACTTTCCCCCCGGGGCTGTGGCCGCCACGGGGCTAGCGGAGGCTGTGCGTGCCAGTCTTTGTGCGGCTGGCGGAGTGGAGCTCCCAGCCAGGCCCGCCTGTCCCACTCGGGACATGAGCGGCTGAAGTTGGTCCCACCTCAGTCCTCACCCCCGCCTGGGACCCTCTGGGCTTCCAGACGCTCCCCGCACCTCTCCTGGCCCCCTCAGTTCTCCCAGGTAAGTCTGGGCACTCTGCAAGCTTGTTGGGGGTGGGCGCAAGGCCCTCTCTCTGGCCCAGGCCTGGGGAGAGGTGCCCCAGATCAGAGAGCCCGGGACTGCTGACCTGCTGACCTGCGGTCAGCCCCCAAAAGGAGGGGGCCTGCTCCCGGGACATACTGGTTACCATGGGAATGCCCCGCTGGAGGTACCCTCCACAGCCCCAGGATGCAGCTTCCATTCTGAGAAAACTTTGCTAGTTCTGGACTCTTATTCCCTTCTCATTCCTGAAGGCTCCCAGTTTGCTGGGAATGGGATATCCGAGTTCAGAGCAGGATGACACATTCCCTTCACCCCCACCTTTCTCCCTCTACTCCTGCTGCTGGGGACAGGCAGCAACAGGGACAGATGGTCTGGGCGAMGGTCCCTCCCCTTCTCTCACGCCCATCCCCTTGTGCTGGGTCTAGTKGGAGTTGCTGTGGCTCTAGAGAGATGCTGAATTTGTTTTGTGTCCATTCATTGGAGGTGTAAATAGAGGCTCCAGAGCAATGAGCTTCAGCTCCTCAGAACTATWACCCAATTCCAGGAAATGCCTATTCTTTCTCTAGAGAGAGAAACTAAGGCTCTGAGACTTTTTTTGAAATTGAAGTGGAACCCAGGTGTTCTGCTACCCTTCTCTGCAGGTTCTTGAACTGGTGCATTTCAAAAAAGTGGCACTGAAACTAAAGGGACAAGGGTAGTTCTGCTTTTGAGGAAAGGATGGCCTAATTAGGAGATGGGGGCCAGTCCTGAGAATCTAGACTCTTGGGTTCATTGCCCAGGCCTTGGTATCTGGTGGATTTCATGAGCCTGGGCTTCCTGTATTGTCTTAGTTTACCTGTCTGTAGAGTTGAGAGTCTTGGGGTCTGAGTAGGGACTCTTTCCTGAAACACAGGCTTAGTACAACACTGGCATGCAGAGGCAGTGTGTGCTGTTTTTATCATGTGGATGTGGCCCATGAGAGCTTGCATGGGGTGAGGGCCTGTTGTGGGCACCCTGATCCTACCTGGGGCTGCTGGGTTCCAGCCTTGGTGGGCATGTTGAGACGAGTTGAGGGTGGAAGCCTGCTAGGCAGGTTGGAGGCACACATGTGTGGAGGCACACACAGGCTCTGATTCTTGGCACCTTCGGGGGACTGTGCATTCTGGGCCCCTGTGGGACCCTTCTTTTGCCCACATTATGAGAAGGGGCCCTTGGGGAGAGAATTAAATGACATATGTTGGCACAGGGTCTTCCTTTGTCTCTTCCCCCCCCCCCCAAGGAATGTTGTATTTAAATCGAGGAGGGGGCAGACAATACAGCTAACTTTCCAAATGTCATCAAGTTTTGGGGACCTAAGAAAGTTAATATGACCAAGGCTAGAACCTTTGGGGCTATGCTTCAGTTTCACATTTGGTGAGGCGGGGGAAGAGTAGAGTTGTATGGTTACCTGGTTACCTACCCAACTACGAATTTAACACTTACAGTCAGGAAATAGTATGCCAGCAACTATTTATGCTGCTAGATGAGGTGGAAGAGTGGCTACCATGTGTACATGCCCAGATATATGAGAGACCTTTTTTTTTTTTTTTTAAGTTACCATTTGCCTCCTAGATTGAGCCTTCTGGAACCCACACTCCTTACCAGGCCTCCTGTGTTCCATTCCTAAGTAGTGTGGAGGCTCATCTGCTTCCCTCCCCCACTACAAGTCTCAAGAGAGAAGGGGTTGAGGSTTTGGGTGTCTCCTTGGGAGACAATACTCTACCCATGGTTGGTGTGGGGGCTGGGCTGATAAGGAGTGGCTGATGGGGAAGGCAGAAGGTCCAACTGGTTATCTGGTGGGTAACACTCAACAGGCAACCCCCCCTTTATCTTTCTATCCCCTACCCTCCTGGGATCCTGGGGATGGAGGAGGGGCAGAGAGTTCCCAAAAGTCCCTTCTCCCCCCAAGTCTTGGTCTCTCTCTAGAGGGCAATAAAGGGATAAGATCATACAAATAGCATAGGATATGGAAATCAGAATATCTGGGCTCAGGTTTTAGCTTATTATTATATTATCCTCATGATCTTGGCAAGTACCTTTGAGCCTTCAGTTGCTTCATCTGTAGAATTGGAATTTTACTGTTAACTCTACTACCTTGCTAGATT